GTCGCGCTATCACGGTATTGATGCCGTGACTGATATTTTATGACGTTGCCTTTTGCTTTACTTTGTGCTTTCTTCAAGAACCCCTGAAAAGAAAAAAAAACTTTTCTTGAACAGCCTGATTAGAACACGCGCGTGTCAAAAAAAAAAAAAAATTTACGCAACATACGCAAAAAAAATATTTTAGAGCAATATTGACGGCGAGAGATTTATTTGAAATTGTGCGCGCAAAGTCGATGACGTCACGGAATGGTAATTTGCTCAACAAGATTGTAATTCGCTCTTTCCGCCTCAACGTAAGGGCGAAGTCCATTCACCTCTCCTCCACGTGCCCGAAATTCCGAGAGAGGAAACAAGGGGAAAGGAGGTGACTACCGACTAAGTCGCGTCTAACGCCGTCACTATTGCTCTACATTTCTTTTGTCGCGTAAAATTAATTTTTTGACAAGCGTGGCCCAACCAGACTTTAAAAGAAATATTTTTTTTTCTTTTTAGGGGCCCTTTAGGGAAATTACGCATTCTTCATTAAATGTTTAAAATGGCATGTTGAATGTAGTTCCAGAGCCTCTGTCAGGCAAAATAAATGCATCTCTGTCCACATGCAGACAAAAAGAAAAGAACTGAGAAAGGGTGAAATCAATGGAGAAAAGAAATTGCCTCCTTGCTCCGCTCCCCCCCCCCCCCCCCCCTCCCCTTCCCCTTTTTTGCCAAAATTAAAACACCCCCAAATTTAAATTCCTGGGGAGACTCTTGCTGTGAAGAAACCGTCTCAGGAAGAGCTGGAGTTCCTTTGTCACAATTCTTTTTCATGTCATGATACCTCGTCATGTCATGATTGTCTCTCCTCTGTTTGTACATCTCCTGCCACATCGTACAATTGCTCATGTAAACGAGGAACCAAATCGCTGAAAAATCGCATTTGTTAAGGTGCGTAACTATTATGATTGTTTATTACCTTCGGGTTGCACTTTCTGAGACACATTTGTTTAAATGAGAGATTGATCTTCGAACCATTGCATTGGTAAACATGTACAGTGTGTTACTTTTACTTTTACTTCTTTCCGCTTGAAACTTGTTTGTTGATTCATACTCGTGTAATTCTCCTGTTTCGCGGGCACGCAACAAAGACCTTCAGAACCCACTTCTTTGAAGAATGGGCAAAGAGATAAGCGATCTCAGTCCTCTGTCGTCGATTTTTTCAGAGCAAAGAGTTTGTTCAGGCGGGCCTTTAACGTGCCCTAAAACGGCGTTTTGTGTACATATTTTTGCTTGTATAATAGCCGGGTCATTAAAAAACGTAGAGAAATAGTTTAGGACGGATGTTTGACGTGCTGGCTTTCATTACCTAAAAATGTAAATATTCACAAAAAATGCGCAATTGCGCGCTGCTCCAAAAAAAAAAAAAAAAAAAAAAAGAAATTGAGCAGCGCGCATTTGAGCGAGTGGGCGTCCGGGGTACAGCTAGCACCACCTATTGAGCTTTCTAAGTGGAAAAAGATTTCTACATGAGCTACGTCACAAAAGAAACGTCACGCGAGATTGTCACGTGTCTGGCACGCTTCGCCTGATAAGGCTACGGCTGCGCACTCCTGCTTCGACTGTAATTCGGGGCGCGTCCGCAAGGGATACGGGGGTTAATTGCCAGTTGTTCCACCGTATCTGTTTCGGCGCCAAAATAAGCGATCAAAGCTAAAATTGAACTGTAGCAGCGGACGCGATCAAATGCGATACCCTGGTAACTTACAGTGACTCTAACTAAACCAATTCCCCCCTCCCGCCCAAAAAAAACAACAACAAAAAAAAACAAAAAAAAAACATTCCTGCGTTTTTTTGTTTTTTTTTCTGCGCGTTATCGTTTTAGCGAGTGTAATCAGAACCACAAGAACAAAGAGCGCCGCCACAATGCACTTTTGATTCTGCTTGATTGCCTCCATCGGGTCGTCGTGTTTCCCGCGGTCTAACTTAGAGTAAATGGAAGTATGGTCGATACTTTTCCCGGAACCTAGTAACTTTAGCTCGGTTCACAAAGTATAAAAGCCTAAACTCTAACACGGCGTAGCTTATACTTATTTAGCAAACTTTTTTGAAGCCATTTTTTTTCGCAGGAGTGTCCTTTTTTTTCTGCATGTTGTCATGCGCGCACAATGAGGAACGTGGAAAGAACGCGTATATAAAAGATCACTCCTTTTTTGTTAGGATGAAGTGGTGCGTGCCTCGTCTGGTAAAACAAAGCACAGCAAAGCATTTAGGGTCAATCAAGCGTGAAACTAGGTTAATCCAGAAATAATTGGATTCAGGTCCCACACTGTGCCTTCCTGGTAAGTTTACTAATGAGGACCGTGAAAATAAAACGAGTGCAACGCCATTCATCTATGATATTGAAAAGTCAATTGATATTTTTGTTAAATAAAGCCACGAGATGTGTTTTTTTTTTTTAGCCTAATATTTTTAGAGCTCTCTCGCAGGCTGGCGTTGGACACTCCACGAGGAAGACAGGTAACTCAGTAGGACATCAATTAAAAAAAAAACAAAAAAAAACAACGCTGTTCGGCAGCTTCATGTTATTGAGGACATTAAACAAAAATAAATTTAAATTTCATCGCAGCTGAAGTGTTTTTGCAAAGTTCAGCCCCCCCCCCCCCCCTAAGAAAACACTTAAAAATTATTAAATCTAGGAACATGATGCGGATCTTTGTTGTGTCCTACATTTCAATAAAATTTACGTCAAATGTCTAAAGTACAAAATACTAGGGTTGTAACTAACCATACATTTAGTAGACTGGTACTATGTCACCCTTTTCAGGAAACACACCGAGGTAATCCACTCTACCAAGGGCGGATTACTCGGTCTTGGTTAGGATTAAGGTGCGATTAAATAAGGTTGTGTCTTCTGATAAATTCACAGGTACACGCTACGCCCGAACGTTATCGGTGGGACTGCGATAACCTGTTTGTTATTCGAGATTTGAAATTGGTCTATAGATTTACTTAAGTCGACTCAATTCAGGCATCAATCATCTTCGTGCTAGCAACACAGAAAAAGCCGATTTTGCTAGTCAACGCCACTCTCCAAAACCCTCGCATCCAGCTGTTTAGTGCAATATATATTGTTTAGTGTATTCAGGGTGCTTAGCAACATTTTTAAAGACATCGGTGGGCTTCAGTGATATCACCCTTAACATGTTTTGTGACTAGATTCGGTTCACCATCACTGCACTCACCATATGGGCAACGTTCTGCCCCTGTAGGTCATGTAATTTACGTTTATATAGGCAGTCTAAGTTCTGTTTAGTATGCATTCTGCGTTCGCTGCCTTTCGTGAAATAATGCAAGAACTCTGATCCGTTACCTGAAGGTAGAATGATTTACCTAATATTTAGCATTCTAGCTGAGATAGACAAAGAACGACGAAAAACAACGAGTGCTTGCTAGTGACACAGAATTTGCTGCAGCTTTTATTTTACAACATTCTATGGTGGCTTTAAGCGTACATGTTTGATCTTTCTCGCCTCTCGTATTGGACGCAGTGCTTTTGTTCAATACGCAATTTGAATATGGCTGGCCACGACGGTTGAAAGACAGAGAACGTTTTGAAGAAGTGAAAATAAGAAGTCCTCTTTTATTTTAAAAGCTTTCGTACAAAAACAGGCTTTAAGTTCTTTACCCTCGTGCTCTACCTTGTTTTACCACTAAACAGTATGCTCCTTATAAAATGAGAATCCAGAATAATCTATCCCAATAAGAAATTCATTTTATCGTATCGTTTAAGGAAAGCAAAACATTGTTGCAAATCAATCATTAATAAAACATCAGATTTACTGAAGGTAAAATTAGAAACAAATGCAGTTTGTGAAATCCCGACAGGGGCAACAGGACTAGAGCACATGGAAAACAACACTGGAAGCTATGCTCTTCTATTGCATTTTCAGACTCTATAAAGTTTTTGTGAGACGCTGTCGAGGATAAATTAAACGTAGTATCCACAGTACTGCATCCTCGTAATCCTGCCCTTGTACGTGACTTCGTGTTAGAACTTATTCCCACGCGCTCTCGTGGGAAAAAGACGCTAAACGAAGTCACTCTCCCTCGCGCATGTAGTTTTGAAAGTACCGGAGTCCCTTAGAAACTACGGTACATTGAAAACTTCGCTGAGTAAAGTGTTATTTTTTTATGATTACTTTATGGAGCAGCCGCACACACATGGACCTAATACCATAAAAACGTATTTTCTGCTAAAAAAAGTGCGATCGACGATATGACTTATCATGTGAAATCTTCTGATTTTCTCCAATGATTGAATGTTTAAGGAGAACTTTATTGTAACCGCTGTCGTTTACTAGGTTTTGTCTGTAAGTTAGAGTTACAATGGGAAGCTTTATGTTCGTTTCATAGCGGACTGCAGTCGGTGACAAGTGAACAACCTAACTGATATGGTCCGTTTCGAGGGCGAGCTGTCTCTCTTCGTCATACGCGCAGCCAAAGTCAGGCAGAAGGAACGAACACATACTGGAGGCGTAGCGTCTACTGGGTCGACTATAGAATAGTGCCTAGAGCTCGCTTGGATTTTTTAATTGGACCTATCGCCATTAAAGCCTTTTCAAAAGTTCGTGATGCGACATCGATGGTTGCCATTTGTCGGGTCGAAGTGTGCGATTGACTCAGAGTTCTAGCCAAACCCTCAGACAGCCCTATGCTGCGACAACTTGATAAAAAAACAATGGCGGACAGGAGACCGTGCAGTCTTTTGAAAAAAGTCTATGCCCCCCTCCCCCCCTCCCTCCTCGGCACAAGGCAACAAAATGGCCCTCGGCACAAGGCAACAATATGGCGGCGCCTACGAGACAATCGAAAAATGGAGTGACGATACTCTGGCTGTCGTACAATCCAAGGGTGCTAACTGGGCAGATTTTAATCGTTCTTATGGAACTGGCGCAGCGTGGCACCGATACTTACGACAAAAGTAAGTGCCAATCTCAAGTTTACTGAACGTGATGAATACGTACCTGCGAAGATTGGAGCAGTGCGTTACAGATGACGTAAGCGCTTTCGAAGTGCGCGTCGTCACGGGGGTTGATGCAGAAGAACAGATGCGTGATTCCCAGCAGCGGGAACAGCAGCGCCGTCGCCTTGGACACCTTCCTGAAGATCGGACGGGGACCAGCAAGAAAGAGTTGAGGAGGGTCACCGACATACACTAGGAACAATCATCGGCAGTTTTTGGGGCCCGGGTAGTCACATCTATATTCAGTCACGGGTTAAGAATACAGCAAGTGCTCTGCCTTTCAGTGCGCGGTTTCTGCCATTGAAGACACTTGGTTTCAGGGGCAGTCAAAATCCGGCGGTAAACAACGAGTCCGTGTGGGGGCGGAACTTCTACTGCCTTCTTAACCCGTCCCCAACTACAGTCACTGCCAGATTAACAAATGGAGGGTGTGGCCTATTAGAATATGACCTGTTGCTCCGTGATTCGCTCTTTCGGCGTTCTTATCGGCCAATCCTCAAACTTGAGAGGCTGCGGATCCAGAGTGAGATAATCGGGACATGTGATGTGTTTTTTCACTCATTAACTGGGCAAAAAAAGTCTGGTTTGCTATGTTAGAGTTTTTACATGAACAATTACTTTGAAGGTAGAAAACAAGGAACTCCACTGAGTTCCTGTTAAGGCACGACAGCATTATTTGCTCTTCGCCCCACAGCAATTTTGTTTTAGATATATGCTGCCGTTCGGAATCTCTGAGTTATACCAGTGTGGACTTTTTAATGACAAAGGCAACCTTTTTTTTCGGTTTAAGGCAGGACAGTTACATATTTGCCGTGCTCGGTGTGTGTTTATTGGGTTCGGCATAGGTTAGATGGGAGGATAACCGCCACGATTAGTTGTCAATTTAAAGGTATGTGTTTTAGAGTTTTAAATGATTGAATATATCTACGAATTACACTTACTAGAATTTAAGAAAAACGATCCTTGTCGCACAGGGTTGATTCCCAAGCCTATGGCGTTACAAAACGCTGTTACAGAAACCTGCTTAAACGACAAAGGATATTTATTAAAAACAGATCGGCCCTCAACAGGAATCAAACCACGAACCTCTCGGACCGTATCTAATGCTTACTCCTATGCCAGCAGAGCGAAGGATTGTCATAGTTGCTACGTACTTGTGATGTAAAAAAAACTTTTGTCGTTTCACTGGCTGGAATGTAGTGAAGAGATCACCTCATTACTATAGGTTACGCTATCACATGATCGTTATGTTTTACGTGATCATGTCGCCACCACAATTTACGTGATCACATAACCTATAGTTTGTGACGCCATACCCTGGGCATTAGAATATATTTAAATGTATATTTTAAAACAATATTGCTTTTAGAGAGCTAGGATCTTTTGTTTCAATCGCAGAATCAGGAATCGGAAGGCATAAGATCATTAAATTTTTAATTTCAGACTGCCATTATTTTGCATCGCCATGTATGAATCAATCGAAAATAAGTTTTGATCTAAACACAAACCCATAGTACTTTAAACACTTCCAGTTACCCTTGAACAATTTCAAAGAACTGTACGTTACATAAGTAAAAAAAAGTGACTACCACCAAACGACGCAAGGAGCATATGAAGATAAAGTGCCCTTTTCTTTTCAAACCTCTTAGAAAAATGAAAAAAAAAATTTTTACACGTCCTAACAAAAAAAGATAATATCCTAAAAACCAAGAAAAGTTTTAGTATGTGGTTGAACAATACCTCGATATTTTGGCTTATTCTTTTTACATTATTTTTGAAATGAGACATTCGTTTTTTTTTTTTTAATGTTTGAAGCTTTGTCCGGCTGCTCGTAATAATAATGATGATTTTGAATTACACAAAGGTTTGAACAATTTTTCATGGCAATTACAGTGTACGTATTTTTTTAAAGGCGCCCCTTTGTGAATGTACCTTTCTTGAAGTGGAATATAATTTTGGACTGTTCTTTCAGATAAACATACATATAATGCCATGACATATATAAAGTAGTCCTCAAAAATGTTTTGTCCGTGTACAAAAAAAAAGGCACATCAAAAACAATCTAAGATAGAACGACACACATTGCCTAAAACAACTCACAAGTAAAAATATACATTAAAAATGATTGAACAGATAAAGGAAACTGCATATGTATGGTCAATAAAGTTGATTACATTACGGAATCATTATAATTGTGCAGCAGTGTCTAGGCTGTCGCCGCGCCGCAGCTGCCGGAGGACACCGCTATAGGAGCCGAGACTAATTTCGATCGAGGATTTTACTGCAAGGCACAATGCGAGACACCAGAGCGTCTTGGGGACCTTGTAGGCGGGCAAAGCTGGTCGCACCGCAGCACTTTGAAGCCGCAGGCGCACTGCTCACGCGTCGCGTAAAAGCCGCGGTGGTCGCTGCGGACACCATGAGACATAGCTTCCTCTACACTCACAAAGCCTGGCAGTTCGACGACGGAGCCATAGAGTGCCCAGTCGCAGATTTGGAGAGCGAGGACCTGGTAGCACAGAGCATCAAAGAGCCATTTTTCGGGGAACCTGGACGTCAGCGCGCAGCTTTTGCAGCGGCGAGAATCCGAAACACACTTGTTCGGTCGGGAGAAGTGGCGTTTCGCCGCAGCGCGGCGCCAGTCACGTGGCTCTCCTCTCATCTGTTGTCTGCCGCTCCACTTTTTCCATTTCGGCGGCCGCTTTTCGTGGCGATCTGCCAGGCTTTGTCCGTATATATGAGGCTATGCATGAGAGAATGAGCTGGGGACACGCGTCAGGCAAGTTGGACGCATGCTTCCTTCGTACATATGCATGTTTTGAACGTTACTGCAGAGAGTTGTTTGGTGACAGATGTGACAAGAGCAACGTACAAGGAAGGAACGTGACTTAGATAGTGTCTGCAGAGTTTTTTTTAAAGTAATATATATACCAAGCGGTGCGACTACGGCTTTAATGCCTCGCGTTCCGCATGCACTGTGTGGTATAAGAATATCAAGACTTGACGAGAGTATTTGGAAGGGCACGTAATCTCCAAGAGGCGTCCCACCTGAGCTGCATGGTCTCGATAGAGGTGTTTGACTGCAACTTGGTCAGCAAGATCCGGATGATGTTGATCAGAAACACCGTGTTGATCTGCACCAGGAAAAGCAACGGAAAAAAGGACGACCCTGGAGTTATCTTAGGAAAGACAGCCCTTTTTATTGCGGTACAAATACAAAAAAAATCTATAGTCGTTGTCACACACAAAAAAAAAGGAGAACAGGTTTTTGCGCACTGTTCGTACGCTGTGCGAAGTAGTTCTTACGAAATTTGGGTGACGGAGAAAGAAACAAAGTTTCAAATGTTTATGCCTCGATAAAATAACCTACACTCTAATAAAAGGGGTATTGCCTGACACCCTTCTGTCCCATATAAAGCATTTCAAAACTTCAGTTCAACGTTCAACGCACTATAGTCGAAAAGACGGCAACAAATTTTACGAGGGGCTTGATAACGGTGCGATATAACCTTTAAAATAGCTAAAGTATGTATCAAAGATCACAGAAAGAAAACACTGCGGTTTTGCAATAGGGCCAAGAAAACCGCGATTATTGTTTTTTGTAGTCAGTAACACGTACACTAATTAATTTAATATGTTGTACCACACGGCTATCAAGCCTCTCATAAAAGTTAGTACCGTCAGATCGACGTCAGTGCGTTGTGCGCCAAACTGATGTTTTCGGGTGTCTTATATGGGACAAAGGGTGTAAGAATATACCTTTTTGGTTTAGAGTGTGTTAAGTAACGAAGGATTTTGTTAGAAATAAGTAAGATTTGTTTTGGAAAAGTCTATCCTTCTACAGTTGTCTCGGCATCGTTTTTTTTATCAGCCTATGTTCGGGTCCACATTTTTGGGCGTTTGCTCGCAGACCCGCGGCAGGGGTGAGAGCGTGAACGGGGAGTCGTCTTGTTCTCTCAAGCGCGGGGGGCTTCGAGCAGCCGCGGGGCTCGGAAGAGAAGAGTCGGACCCCGTTCGTTAACAAACGGATTGGGTTTCAGTTTGGGGCGCCGGAACTCCCCTATCTTGGGCTTCTGTCCGCACTTGTGGCTTTTAAGCGGGTGTGCTTGTGTCCGGCGTATTTCGCCGCTTAGTGTAGAAAACTTCGCTTTTAGTCGACGCAATAACTTAACTTGGTGGCGCCAGCCAGACGGCGAAGAAAGCATGTGGTGACTCTACAAAGAATTTGGGTTTGACCGTTGAAGTGTCGGAGGGGGGTCACGTTGACAGCTCGCTGGTCATTGGGTAAGAGTGTACCACGTGACAATGGGCAAATTTGAAGTGATTGGTCCGTCTCTGGAGGGAAAGGAGGCCCCTACGACTCTAGAAAAGGGCTGCCGAGAGGATTCCAGGGGATTCGGCTTTTGAGATCAGGCAGATTCGGCTCTTGAGACTGGAGAACTAAAGTACGGGTTTTAATGTTGGGAGTTTCGTCATGTCAATCACTGTTGACTTGTTGTCGTCTTGTTTTGAAATAAACGTGGCCACACTGGCCATCGTAAACCAACTAACGTCGTAATGTGTCCAGCGCGATCGAATAACTTTTAGTTTTTTTTTTTCTTATTCGACTTCCCGGGGGACTTTCATCGCGCGAATACCATCATCGGTCGTCACCATCCTGAATGACCGGCCCCCTCTCCCACGGAAAGTTGACTGAGTGTATAACTTAACTGAAGTGCATCTGCGTACGTACATTTCGATTCCCCACTTAAAGAAGCAAATCAGTAAGCCCCCCAGAGGATGCGAACTTTATTTTTTTATTACTACGGTTAATTTGGTGAACTTGAGTATAGTCCCCATGAAAGTTAAAAAAAAGTATCGGTTCTTCTTTTTTTGGGAGACCTGGTAATCTTTTTGGGTGCACGCGCTAGGACAGAAAGTTTAAAATACATATTCAGGCATTACAGAAAGTGTTCATACCAAAAAGCACATCAATCTTCTGTTCCATGTGCTGAGAAGTTGGGGCAAGTTGACATATATATTCCGTTTAGCTGAAGCACAGGAAAAACAGTCTGTATGTTCGGGAGATGCTGACAACCTGTTTGCATTTCTAATGTCCTTTCAATCACATGGGTTCAGAATAGGGAATGTGGTATTCAGAAGGAGTTCACAAGAAAAACGAACCGTGTTTTTCGGCTCGCGTAAAACAATTCTGCATTGTAGAAAGCTGAATCTCGATGAGAATCTGACTCTAGTTGTCGGGATAGAACGCAAAAGTGAGAACACGTCGTTATCTGGATCAAAAGATAACAGAGAAAAACAAAATGTCTCAATGACACGACGTCCACCTAAGACTAATGTCGCCAAAACCAGAAGTGTCATTGTGGGCCCATGTATCACAAAATTCAGTGGAACAAACTTGTTAGCAATAGAGAAAACAATCTTCTATTTCTTGATAACAAGTGGTTTTCACAGATATAAATCCCAGAAGGGTCCACAATATAATTTCGTGTGTTTTCGATGTAAGGCGTATTGGAAGTCAGCTCAAAGAAAAGTGTCGTTTTTCTCAATTTTCTTTTGATATAGGTAACGTCATCGTCTTAAACTTTCGCGTTCTATCCTAAACGCTAGCTTCATATTCTACCATAATTTGAAATTTCGACGGTGCGTAGTTTATTTATCCGGGTCGAAGAACACGGCTCGCCTTTCTCTGAAACTCCCTGTTGTACCCCTTTTAGTTTAATTAACGACGGGCAAAGCGAGGTAAAGACTTGCAATTTTGAGGTACAAGCATAGTATCGCGTTTGAGTTTATACTTTTTTAATTAAGCAAGGACTAAACAATATCAACCGAGTTTGAAACTAATTTTTTTTTGGATGACAACCACTTCTTAAGTTAATTAGGAGCGGTTTTACAATTTAGCGAGGCAGCCGTCTGCAGTTCACGTTGCAAAAAAATATTACTTCATGATTTTTAAGACTGTTCGGGTTATCCGGGGCCCGCTCTTTGCAAACCCAGCGGACGCAACAAAATAAAGGTGCTCACAATATATAAACATGTGTAGCTCAGTAACGCCGACATTTTGATCTAGAAACGTGATGGACACAGCGTCGTGCATGCAATAAATGGGAAGGTAAGGCCACAAAATGCATACTTTTTAAAAATAAAACAGTGTTTTGGCCATCTAAATCAAATCCGACTGTAAAAAATCAACATTCTTGCAAATGTCAACGTGGAAGAAAATATTACGCTTTGCGTAATGGGAGACTTCGTTGGCGAACACAATTTGGAGAGACTGGTTTAATCCGTTTCACCTTACGATGGACTGCAGTGGACGCTACGAGCCATGAGAGCCAATGCTATGCCGTGTTGGTGTCATGTGACATTCGGGAGGGGCGCACCGATGCGCAAGCTGAGTCAAGCGATACTCTCACATCGCCGGATTTGCTGTGATGGCTTGTGGTGACCTGCTCCGGTCCGTCAGGTAAAACAAAGCACAATGAGGTGCTCCGAAAACCAGCTGAAAGACGTAGGGTGCCGCAGCAAAGCGTTGATTGAATAATTTATATGCACTTTGAAACTCACAGAAATCACAGAGACCAGCTTATACACAGTTAGCCAATTAAAGTTAATAACTAAAATAGGTGAGTTACACTTGCATGTTCCGTGAGCATTTTCATCTTGTTGTTTCAAGTTTGAAAATGATTGATCAAAATGCCGGTTGCTTTTCAGATTTTCTTAGTGAGGTTCCATTTTTACATTTTTACCTAGTCAATCTTACCATAAGCTTTTGAAACTCTTTGTTGCTTTCTTGTCAGCAAGCAATAAAACACTAGAACAACAAAATGACTGTGCCTAGCCCTGGAAAAAAAAAACTAGAGATATTGAAAATTATTCCTCTTTTATCATATAGACGAGACATTACAGCTTTTCTAAATGTTATAGATGCGACGATACGTACTTTGTGTTACTACTGTGCCTAAAAGTGTTTTTCACGAGTGTTTCTAGTGTTTCTAAATATTTCAAAAGTTTTTTTTTTGTTTACTTTGGCTGGGGATCTGTGAAATCTTGGTTTTGATTTGGAGAGAAATTTTAACCATCATCTTCAGGGACACCGAAATGAAAGTGGAATTATTTTCGAGCCCAGTTACAAAAAACAATTGTCGCAGCAGTTGTAAAAAAGAAAACAAAATCAATAGCTTCCTTTTTTCCATGAAAATAACTAAATAAAGCACACGACCTGGAATACAGGTAACTGGTCTGCAAGATGTTATTACGAATGTGCCAATTCTATATGGGTACAACAAAAAAGAGTTGGCCGCCACGCCCAAAATGAACTGCTGAATTTTATTTACAACCTATGGCGTTTTTGAACGCTAAATTGAAATTCGTAAAAAGTTATTGGGTGTTTTCAGATAATTTCGGCCGACCATGTCCGGTAACCATTTTTAATTTTTACGAAAATATTATTTTGTAAATTCAATACCCATCAAAACAAAACCAAAATCAGTTTCGCAAAAAAAAAAAAAAATGTCTTTGAGGAAAACCATGAGAAGTACAATCTCAGTGCGAAGCCCTTTCTGCGAATTGCGCGAAGTTGGCATTTGAGTCACCTCTCCCAAACAAGCTGTTGTGCCTGTCCGTCTAGAAATATTTTCTAAATAACTAAGTATAAGGAGCATTGACTCAAAATATTTATAATCAAGTATCAACGTTGTTAATTCCTAGAAAAAAATGCAAACATGGCACATTCCGCAAAAATTTTTCCGCATTTTCAAACTTTGCCAGCGTGTTATCCTATATATAGCTAATATTGGCGCTAAATATTATTATCCTGGTCAGCGAAATAAATGTGTGAGAAACACTCAAATGCGGTCATTTCAACAATTACGAGTTAATTTGAAACTCAATTAAAAGAAAACGTAATCTTCGATTTTTGTTATACTCTCCCACATCAAGGCCAATGATAGGTTGTGACATAATCTGCAAAAAACAAGTTATAAAGCTAGAAATATGACCAAATTGGGGCTACCAGATCATGGGCTCCGAGGCTCCGTCTGCGTGTTTCTTCTCCTTCGTCCGTGTTTGCGCTGTTTTTACATTATGATCATCTTCCTCGAGTTTTGTTGGTTTCCTGTCTGGTACCGCGTGGTGC